TTTTAAAAAAGGCAAGGCCTACTTATGTGTTATGACCACAGCTGTTGTCTGGTTCACAGATAAATAATTTGTAGTAAGAAAAATGGGGGTTGGTTATCATGCAGCCATCTGATTCTATATTGTTGAATTTACAGTGGTTATCGAGGCATCTGTAAACGAATGCAGGTCATGTGATTAAACTATAGATTGTTTCTGATCAAAGCTGAGAATTTGTTTCCTCTGCAGAGACATGTATGTACTTAGTAATAACCAGTGTTGAAATGCACTGGGTTATGCAGTATGCCATGCCGTAAAGTATTTGCTGATGGGACTTTATGTCTAATAAGATTAATTGGACATCAGTGTACTGACATGCTGTGTCAATTCTTAGTACCTCAAATACGAACGTATGCACATTTTGAATGTCACTGTTTAATGCATTGCATTGTGGGTAAAGGTAGTAGACATTTGCATATAATCCAAGAATTGATTGCTGTTCTAACAAGTGTTTTGTCAGGTATCAACTTGCTACAGGTTATTAAAAATAATTAAAAAGTGCAAGTGTTAATCTTATTAAGGCTTTGATAGGTTCCTCCATGCTTTAGCGACTAAGATGTGGAATTAAGTGGTCACTAACACAGGTTCGACTGTAATAACTAGACCCCATCATATTTGCTTGATGAGAAGATAATACAATGCACAAATGACCTGTTTTCATAAGCCTGACATGTAGGCATGAGTGGTGGCCATGCCTGTCGAATAGCATCAGACCTACTTCGGCCACATCAATGAGTTCAATGAATATTCATTATTGTGGTCATGGTAACACTTTTAATCAGCAAATATCAGACTGTTTTCAACAAGATGATAAACATTGGGTGGAAATTTACCAGCACCTTATCTGACATTAAGTTGCTCTTTGTCGGCTGTCACTATCTGACTTTCCTGCAATTTGATTGGTACCATCAAAAAATCGTTATGGGAAGTGAAAAACTACATCGTTCTGGTAGGCGTGTATTAGGTTTGAAGCACCACTGAAGGTGCAGCTCGTGCAACCTTGTGGCTATGTTTCCATTTGCTGTCTTTAAAATCCTGTCTAATTAGACAGAGATCTCATTCACTTGTATTGGAGATGTTTTTAATTGTAAATACTGTAAAACTTGTAATATTCACTAACAAAATTGTTGTGTTTTCATAAATTTATGGCATTCAGGAGAATTGTTCACTGTACGAAGTATAATTTTCACATTCGTAAAATTTTTGAAAATGAAGTGGTTTACAGTAATAGTTTTCTGCCTCTACTTGACGTCTAAATCTAATGCTGTTTTTGTGAAATTGAATCAATTGATTTCAAGTGATTTCAGTTTTTATTCATCACTAGGTGAAAGTAGGTCCAGTTCAGACATTCGTTTCAGTATATTCATTTGATGTAGTGTTGTATAGATGTTTTGTATGTGATGCTGCTCAGCGTCATTAAGGTTAGGGTTATTGACTTTCTGAATGCGTCCTTTATAACATTGGCATCAGTAGATGGTAATAAACCTTAGTCCGGACTTAAAATCCAGAAGCCATGGAGGCAATTGCCAAGATGCCCCACCAGAATGCACTGATACCCATCTGTATTTCCTCCAATTTCAATCAGTCAGGCATTTTATAAACACTTTTAAAATTTAAACTGGGTGTTCTCTGAAAACCAAAGTTGAAGCTCCTACCACATCCTAGGATATGCATTTATTAATCCACATATTGAAATGTGAACTGTACAACCGTGGCCTGCAGGGAAGGCAGAACTCTTATAAATCATTGACAAGATGCAAGACTCTATGTAGCTATATAATAGAACTGTTAAAAATAGAATAGATTATCACTATTGAATCTTGTAGGTCTAAATTGATCAATGAGGTCACTCTGAGCTTCTGATTAAACATCATTAATAAATGTTTATCGTAGTTGTGTAACGGTAAACTGACGTTTGATCTCATTTACTGCTCCGCATATAGACTGTCGTAATTGTACTCCCACGTGCAAGAGATAAACATTGGTCAATTCACTCCCATAAGGGGGGGGGGGGGTACTTGAGGGAAATCGAACAAGTTTATTATTCATTATCTCAACATTATTTATTCATTCGTAAAAATTTCAGTAATGTCATTTTTTATTTCGTCTTTCAATGTAAATTATCAGTTATGTAAAATGACTAATTTTCATTACATTTATTAAACTATTTGAAGCATTTTGACCGTCAATTAAATTAATTCGCCGGTGAAATAAGGTCTATTATAATTGTAAATGTTGACATGGATTTAACTCGCTTGAATTCTTCAAATATTAAAATCAAGTGAATAATTTAAATTCAATGAAAGTAAAATCAAGTGCGTTTGTATCAGATTCTATTTTGTATGACTGTCACAGTGTACGTGCATACAGGCAGGTGTTGTTCCATTGGGTATGTTAATAACGAACTAAGCAGTGTCTAATCCTGTACTGTATTTGCTCTATTAGTAGCCCACATTCCTATATAAATTTCAGTGGTGTCTGTTGTATTTTATTAATCCAATTTGTCATTGTTGCATGTGCTTTTGTTGGAGATGTGCTACGATATCCTGTTGACAATTTTGAGACTATATCCTCTATATAAATTGGTTAGACTTGAGCATTGACAGTGAATACGATTCACTCAGACATGTGCAGTAGTAGTCTGTTATCTGAATAAACACCCCCAAGTCTGTGGAAATGTTCACGCAGGCCACCTAACTCTCTAGATATGTCATCAAAGAATGCAAATTTGTAATGTTAGATAATAATCAAAATGATTTTGCAGCATCAATGTGTTTGTTTATATCTGCTACCAAATACCTTGGCTTGCTGTTTATAACCCAAATATAAAATTATGTGAGGAAGGATATGGTACACAAGGGTTTTTCTAGAAAAAAAACTGCAAGAGGGAGCACTGCAATTCAGCGGTGCCACCAGGGTGTGGAGTTTTTGATAATTCTAAGTTAAAATAGAGCATTCTATGGCTTACTTGGGGCCAAAATTACTATCAGACAGGTCACAATTGAAGACTGTGGCCACATGTGATCCCTGGTCATTCAGAATTTTATGGTTGCCAAAGGATCTGCTCCCCAGGGTAAGGGGGCACGTGGCCATGGTATGAGGGCCCCGTCCGTGCCCCTGTTCCCTTGTTTAAAAAAATCCCTGATATAAAAGGACTAGCGCACACACCACCTCAATCATTCATTCATACAGGAAATTTTCCTTACGATGAAACACTTAGTTGATACAATTCCCTTCTTCACATCAAAACACACAAGCTAATTAACATAGCAGAGATTACCTACACTGACATGCGTGGAAGTTGCCATTAAAATAAAAACAACTTTTCTGTGATGGGGTTGTACTGGCTGTTTTTGTGTGGGTGTTTGAAATCAATTAGTTGATATCAGCAGGTAATCTGTTCAATGTGCCTTTCATACAACTCCTTCTTCAACCATTCATTGATGACTGACCTAGAGCTCCTCTTTTGTTGCTCTGTCTGTCAAAAATTCAAAGAATTCTAGGGGATGGCTAGATGCTCCCAATAGTATTAATTTAACAGTACACCCTGGGTAATGGTAATTTTTTTTTTTATTTTGACAAAAAGCTGGATTGTGCGTGCAGAGCATGTAGTAATAATAATAATAATAATACTAATTCTTTATTGTATGAATGAGCTGCTTGAAGGCAATGAGATGATCTAAATTTAAATAATATTTGCATATAACATCGCAAAAAAATACATTAGTACTGAAAATCTGTATTAAAAACCATGGTTCCTATTAAAACAGTACAGTCAGGGATTTTCACAAATGCATTTAATAGCAGGCCATCATCCTGTAACAGGCCCAAAAAAAATAAGGCTCTCGGCAGTGCGAACTGCTGCAGAGAGACCGGCGTAGGTGGTCAGGGGACAGAGTAAACGGCCAATTTGGGCTTGTAGCAGGCCATATGGCCAGCAACCGACTCTGAAAATCCCTGACAATGCAAAAGAAAGCATGAGGCTTCTATTAGAACATCTACAAATATAAGAAATGGTGAAATTTTGGTTCTCATTTTTTCTAAAAGAATGGATACGGGTTGGTTCTATTAGGGTTGCGATTTCTAATACAGATTTCACAGTATTGTTACTAATCTGGTTGATTCAGCTTTATTTTTCTACTGCATATTTTTGTGTAGATTGACAGCAATGACTGCTGTCTGCTAATGACAACCTGCATAGTAGAGGTTATTTAATCTTTCCATTTCAATAATTACGTCTTGAAAAGAAAAACTTGTATTTTTTTTTTTGCATTATACTGATAATCAGATTAGAGCTTGCCCCCATGTCAATATATAATTGATATTTGAAATCTTTCAACATAAATATAGATTGGTATTAATCATGATTTCATCTTATAATCTAAGGTTATTTTTATGCTCAATTTCTACTCCAATTGTTCTATCCACACGCAGTTTCATAGAATTCAAGTAATGATTGATTTATCATGTCAGTCTACAATGCGCACTGATTTCATTGATTTGGAAAGGTGAATAATGCGTTTAAATTGTTTAGCTTGGCTTTTTTGATTTTGTGTTAGATGTCGAGATTAAATGAATTGCTCGGTTTTTAGGTTATTGTGATATATTAAACTTTGTTGTCCTCTACTCCCATGGACATGTTACTGTACACTACATTCCATTACACTCTTTCTTGAGAAACATTTTATTTCAAATGACTGTTGAAAGATTGAGAAGATTGAATTGGTATGGAATGGAATGCGATGTGATGCAATGTATTAGAATGGAATATTTTGTATTACATGTAATTATCAATTTTGAATAAATGATCTCGTCAGATAAATAACAATTGAGTACTTTTGATAGGATAATAGAATCTATTCACAATATAAGAATTTATATAAAATTAAAAAGCCTTTTTTTCTTCTAAGTTTCTAAAACTTTACCAGCAGCTTTTCTCAATTCTGTTATTTTTACCTTGATAGGATCGTGCTGATAGCTACCGTGTAGCTGTAACTCCAGATGCACCAAGTCAGCAAAAATCCCCAAAGAAGAAAAAGAAGGGTAAAAAAGACTTAGAGGAACTCAAACAAGAAATTGAAATTGTAAGTATTTTCTGAAAAATGTCGGACAGTGAAGTTTTTAATCTCATTGAAGGGCCCAGGTTATCATACCATTGTTTAAAGTTGTCTATCAAAGTTGTCCATCATTGGGAATTATCAGTGGTGTACGAGATTTCCTTGTGATATCTTGCTCTCTGATCCTGTTTCTGTTAATGATAGATTCACTAACTTGTCTCATCTGTACATGTTCCATTAGTCACGAATGTGTTTAGGTAAATGATCAAAATGAGCCGCATTCTAATAGCTTTATATAATAAATTCAATTTCCTGTTTATTTGCACTTCTATTGGACCAAATTGAGATGTTGGACTTAGCAGTTTCATTTTAAGTTTGTGAATAAAATGAATTACCATGAATTAAATCTTCAATTTTTTTTTAATAGGATGATCACAAAATACCTTTTGATGAATTGTATGCAAGATACCAAACAAATCCCAATACGGTAAGTCTGTTATGATCGTTTTGTTTGAACAATTCATAATAACTATAGAAAGATTTACCAAATATGTATGCTACCCCCAAAGAAACCATGCTAATCAGTCATAACTTTCTATTACAGGGTCTTACAACAGCACAAGCAAAAGAGTTTTTAGCAAGAGATGGACCTAATGCATTGACACCCCCAAAGAAAACCCCCGAATGGGTAAAATTTTGTGCCAGCTTATTCGGTGGTTTCTCAACATTACTCTGGATTGGATCAATTCTTTGTTTTTTTGCATATAGTATTCAAGTTGGAACGGAGGAAGAACCGCCAAATGATAACGTGAGTGATTTTGTTTGGGGTGTTTAGATTATGTTAAATATTTAAGTCTGCATTGGCCTGAATTACTGAAATTTTTAAGAACTTTTTCATCTCAATAATTGTTAGCACTTTGGAGAATATTGTTCAATTTGCATTGTTTCGCTAAAGTCAACCATGCATCGTCATTATAAACCTGTGTGTAATAATGTTAGGGAAAACTGTATTTGATTAAATTAAATTGAAAGTTTTGAATTGGTGCGCCAAGTAGCTGGATCCACCAATCAGTGTTCTTGTAACAACACTTTGCAGGATTTCACATTTGAACCAATAGATTTTGCCGTCTTATATCACGCCATAGCTTAACTGACATAAACACCGGACTGTGTGTTTCATTAACCAACAAGAGTGAATAAATGTTTATAGTTGAAATTCTGCAAAGCTATAATGGTAAGACGACTACCAAATAGGTGAACTTTATCTGGCGTAAATGATTAAAGTATACCCAATCCAATCAAAATTCAATTTGTGAGAAATTAAATTGAAAAAAAATTGGGTACAGGACTCGTTTGTAAAGATGCAACCATTTCTCTCTACTAATACCTGGGTGACAGAATATGTTCTCACATAAAATCTATTCACCCACCTTGAATCTACTAACATTGTGAATGATCAACTTTCTACGATTGTCCTACCACATTTAACAATGAATGAATTTATAGCAATATCTTGTACTATTCTAGAATTATAGTTAGCTTTACATTTCATTTACAGCTCTATCTCGGTATTGTATTGGCCGCTGTGGTCATAATTACGGGATGTTTCTCGTACTACCAAGAGTCAAAGAGTTCTAGGATTATGGACAGTTTTAAAGACATGGTTCCTCAGGTAATGCAACTCAAAAATTTGCGATGGGATTTAGTGAGGAAATTTGTAATTGGGGTAAAAAAAAAAAAAAAAAAAAAAAAACATAGCATGATAAAGGTGGGAATGAATTCACTGAAAGGTGGGGTGACATACAAATTTATATATGGACTATTTTTTTGTAAAGAAAAGTAAGGATGTAGTCTCTGCCAATCTTCCAGTTAGTTAGTGCAATAGTTAACATGCATACCAGTATCAAAAATCATGGAGCAGTGTACAAAATGTGTTTAAAGTTGAGTATTTTGTTTGTTTGTTACCTGTGCTGTACTGAAAGAGTATCTAATAATGGGTCTCATACATGACCTCTCTCTACCTACTTCCAAAGGCTACACACCCCCTGGTACTTCGAAGAGTGGGTTTCAAATTCACTAAGTATTTTTCAATTATTCATCACAAACAACGCAAGCTAATGCATTGAATTTCAAAATAGTTGAAATTGACAAAAAATTTACTTTAAGAATTATTACCATATTCAACAGACTTGACCACCCTTGTGCGATAAAACTCGTCCACCCTTGTACTGTTTCTATTGAGGTAAAATATCAAACACCCCGATGTAGTTGCAGGTCAATCCATGCTTTCAATGTGTGTGTGTGTGTGTGCGTGTATATATATATATGCGCATTATTATTTTACAAAGTTATCAGAGTAAAATGGTACATCATGCTGAAAGAATGCCCATTGACTTCTGCAGTGTAGTTATTATTGTCCATGGTCGAGATTAGATTAACTTGTCAATTTGCATATATCCTGATGAACAATGTGAATGGATAATCTGTAGGAAGCATTGGTGATCAGAAGCGGTGAATGGCTCACAATAAATGCAGAAAAAATTGTTGTTGGGGACATAGTTGAAGTAAAAGGTGGTGACACGATACCAGCTGATATTCGTATCATTGAATCTCGTAGTATGAAGGTAAGGGTTTCTTCAGTTGTATCTCCTGTATATTGCATGCTTTAACCAGTCTTGTCTTTTGTATTGAAACAGGAAGCACTTGTCTTGCGTAACAGTGCCTGGTCAACAATGAAGGCAGACTTCCTTGTGAAGGGTGACATTGTCGAAGTGCGAGGCGGTGACTGCATCCCAGCTGATATTAGAATTATTGATTGTCACGGTTTGAAGGTAGAGTGGCCTATCCCCACCACTCCATCCCAATCCATTCCATCCAGTGTAGTCAATCTGCAGCCAGTCACTAATTATGTCTTTCATTTCAGTGTTTAGTCACCGTTTGCCTATACTGTTGGCAATATGTGTAAAGCCAGCCGTCGTTTTCATTTTCAGCCACCATCCGTCTCGCCAAACTGATCGCATCAAACACATATCACAATGTCCAGAGATTTTGATTTCATTTCAGAGTCCACACCAATTTATCACTGTTTGCCATTTATTTTGACTAATACATGTTTGTTGTTCAGCCAGACGTGGTTTTATTTTCAGCCACCATCGGTCTCACCAAACTGATCGCATCATACACATGTCAGAATGTACAGAGATTTTGATTTCATTTCAGAGTCCACACCAATTTATCACTGGTCGCCATTTATTTTGACCAATACATGTTTGTTAAGCCAGACATAGTTTTCATTTTCAGCCAATACATTTGTTTTCACTGAGCTGATCACACCAAACACATGCACACATCAGAACATACCAATTAATGTTTTCATTTCAGTGTCTTCAGTAAATCAGTTTGTTGACATATTTGCTAGCATGGCTGACACACTGGGTTAATGCATTTTCAATGTTAAGTCCATCCAGGGTATCGCTGAATCTATCAACCATGCAGTACAACACAATAATTTGTCTTCATTTAAATATTGAGCATTTCAACGATTGGTTTCATCCTCTGTGTTCTTATTGTGGACTTCCTCAATTAAACTATAAACTGCCAAAGTAGATATATTTTGATGTCAATCGTTTAATTGCTGAATCACAGAATAAGGTGTGTTTGAACCGATTCAGGAAGACTCTCCCAACATAGGATTTATACAGTTGATACAACTAGAAAGCATGACAAAAAATAAATAAAAATAACTTTCTTACTGAAGTTCCAAATTTTACTGTGATACATCAAGTACTGGGTCACTGGGTTTAAATTTCGCTGATTTGCCATTACAGGCATATTCAGTAGGTTTTTATCATTAAGATAATGTGTTCTATGCTCAATTTTACATATTCACTGGGTTTTAATTTAGCGCATTTTCCAGTCAGCGCAATAAGGAAAATTAAAACCCACTGAATAGTACAACTGGCCAATACCATCTTCTGTGAGATCTTTCCCTGATTCTGGTTTCCTGTCCAATTTTTGTCTGATATACAAAGCCAAACTTGTTAATATGCACAACTACTTCCTTATTCAGGTTGATAACTCTTCGCTTACTGGAGAGTCTGAACCACAGTCAAGGTCGCCCGAGTTTACCAGTGACAATCCCTTGGAAACTAGAAATGTTTGCTTCTTCTCCACCAATGCAGTAGAAGGTAAGATATTGTCACATGACATAACCTTGTGTGTGTGCATCTGTATTAGAAGCTGCGGCTTCTATTAAAAAGGTACAATGCAACAGAAGGGATGCAGCTTCTATTAGAGCATCTACACATATGAGAAATTGTGAATGTTTCTCAATTGTTCAAAAAGCATGGGTGTGACTTTTAATACAGATTTTACAGTACTATTTAAGAAATTCCTCGCTTTGGCTCACGTGATAAAAACATGCTGATATATCGATATAGATATATATAATCAGCATATCTTCATACCACTGCATGCTGGTAATTTGCATGGAATATCTTCATCCAACCATATTAGGAAATGCAAATTCCAAATATGGATTGGGACAAAAAAATGACAATGTGATGAGGCTTTTGTAAATATTTGCTGCATATTGATATCTTACTATGTTAAAGTAGGCATACTTCCATAATGATTTATGTATACCAATTCCTTGTACCAATGTGCGTGTCTTACTGTTTGTACTAGTAAATGTTATTGCTGGAAAAGCTGGGAAAGGATTGACCAGCTTTGTTATTAGTCCAAGAAAATTGTTCAGCTTGGAATGTGTCTGAACTCTTCATTAGTGTGCAAGAATGTAGGAATGTACCAAGAAAATTGTTTTTCTGGAGTAAATTGTCGTGTATTACTTATGAAAGGTCAAAAAGTGCATGTGGATGTTAACAGAATGATGTAGTTTGGTCACAGTTGCGCAATAAATGATGGACTATTTTGGGCGTAGCTATAAAATGTGTCACCAAAGTACTCGCACGTGTGCATGGATTCCAATAGTTTGTGCTGTGAAGAAACTCCATTAGAAAATAAGTATTGTGTAATTTGTAGTGAGAATTTATTCAAATAGATTTGTTTATGAATCTTGTTTCTTTTCAAAGTGCATTTTTTCAATATGCACCTGTATTTTCTGTTTTAATGCCACCTCTGATACTATAGAAACAGCTGTAACAATTCTCTTTTACTTTCACATGTTACAGGTACTGGCCGTGGTATTGTCATTCAAACTGGTGACAAAACTGTGATGGGACGTATTGCAAACTTGGCTAGTGGTTTGGAAGTTGGCGACACTCCAATTGCCAAAGAGATTGCTCATTTCATTCACATCATCACCTCAGTCGCTGTGTTCTTGGGTGTCACTTTCTTCATTCTGGCTAAGATTTTGGGCTATGGTTGGTTGCAAGCTGTTATTTTCCTCATTGGTATCATTGTTGCTAATGTACCTGAAGGTCTCTTGGCTACTGTGACAGTAAGTGTTCTACACTGATATTTTTGGGTCTACTCCTTGCATCAGAATAAATACTTTAAATATGTAATGAGAAAAATACATTTTTTTTGTATTCCTATACATCAAGGCAGTGTTATCAAATTGTGCATTAAAAATAAGTGCACTCTCAGTATGTAAAAACGTAGTGCTGTTTGGAGTCGCTGAAAAATTGTGGAATTAGCAATAAGTCGACAGTGGTTTCTTGTCTGTTTTGTGTTCCAAACAGACTATGCTTGAACTTTTTAATTTTTATGTACAGCATTCAGGATGCTAAAATTTTTGTGTAATGTTAAACATTGGCTAGGGTATCCCGTTGTTTTTAACAAAAAAATGCATAAATTTTGTTTCTCTCTCTTGGAGAAGTTGCAAAACCTTTTTTTTTTTGTATTAACTTATTTGATACATTTAAACTTGTTAGTGGAATATGTATATCTGACATTTCTTCTTCCCTCAGGTGTGTTTGACTCTGACAGCTAAACGTATGGCCAGTAAAAATTGCCTGGTGAAGAACTTAGAAGCTGTGGAAACTCTTGGAAGTACCTCAACCATCTGCTCTGATAAAACTGGTACCTTGACCCAGAACCGAATGACTGTCGCTCACATGTGGTATGATAACCAAATCGTTGAGGCTGACACAACAGAAGATCAGTCAGGTAATAACTCCGGGAATAATTCCGGTAAGAACTTTCCAGTTTTTCTCTGCATGAAATGCACTGTTATGTTAGCTGCTCAGTGCCTTCCCTAGCTCCTGTTCCGTCTGGTCCGGTCTATATGTTGCTTGTTAAAGTAGCATTGTTCTTCACGGTGAAATACTTTTGTAAGTTTAAATATTTACTTGTGTCAAAGTTTTATTAAATATCAGGATCCAGCACATTAAATATATGTCAATGTAGATAAAACACAGATAAAACAAGAAAATGTATTCCAAGCGTTTTGGCAATCATTTTGCATCAATTTACTGTAATTTACATTTGATATAGTGTTGGGTTTACGAAAGAATTTAGTAACATTTTGACTTATCTGTTTATCACACGTACGACTGGAACAATCAAAACCAATTCTGTATTTCCTCCATTTATAAGTAAAATGCCAATTTACTAGCTTGACATCGTCCACACCTTGTACTGCAGAGCATTCCTTGCAGTCATTAGGAAATGAGTCAAGCTAATGTAAAATAAACTCTTACTAGTCCCTCCTAAGGCCAGACTTTTTTTATTCCTTGTTTCTCGAGTTTTTTAGGGCAATTTTTTCGAGGGCAAGAAAAAAAATTAAAAAATTTCTTTTATCCATTAGATTTGTGTGATTCTCAAAGAATTGTAAGTGAGATCATTGATCGGAGAGAAGAAATGAAATAAAATTGTATTCCATGTATAACCTTGTTTCTTATCTGCGCGAGACTTTGGTACTTTGATCATGATACTCCCACAATTTTATTTTTATTTCATTTTCGGCTCCTGTTCATTCGGCGGGTTCGCGAAACAAGGGATAATAAAAGTCTGGCCTAATGGTGTAAAAAAAGATGTTCATGTTTCACTTAACTAGAATGATGATAGCACATTGAAATTTAGTTCATATTCATGACTTGTAAAAGTTACACATCCTGGTATTTTAAGTGCAGGCAAATTACATTTTTATTTTCCCAAATTTTCTCAACCTGATTGACCAAGAGAAAGGGTTAGTTTTTGCTGTCTTAACAGTAGGCATCTTATCTTGAGTTATTAAATCTTGGAAATCAAGCTTGGTTAGCTTGTTGGTCATCATGTAAAAAAGATTGAGCGACTCTAAAGGACTTGTGTCAGGGTTCATAGCGTTGGGGAAAATTCTTTAAAAGTCTTTTGATTTTTTGAGGTCTGGAAAGTCTGAGTTGTCTTTAAATTAAGGGAAAAATAAATAAATCTTTGAAAAGTCTTTAAATTTCTTCATAGTTATTAATTCATTTTTGAAAGGCCTGTTTTCTCCAGGGAACTACCATATCCTCAGAACTTTGAGCTTTGGTGATGATGCTGTCCTGAATTTAAGGGTCAAAATGTTTTGGAAAAATGCAAGAAAGTTTGGGAAAAGGTCTGGAAAAGTCTTGGAAATCATTTGGTTTTTGGTGTTATGGACCCTGTTCTACAGAGTACATAGCGTTGGGAAAAATCCTTTGGTAGTCTTTGGATGTTTTGAGGTCTGGAAAGTCTTTGAAAGTCTTTAAATTTCTTCATAGTTATTAATTCATTTTTGAAAGGCCTGTTTTCTCCAGGGAACTACCATATCCTCAGAACTTTGAGCTTTGGTGATGTTGGCCTGAATTAAGGGTCAAAATGTCTTGCAGGGGGGGGCAAGAAAGTTTTGGAAAAGGTCGGGAAATGTCTTGGAAATCTTTTGGCTCTTGGTGTTATGGACCCTGTATATTGTCTTATTTTTCTACTGTGGGAACGAGCATCACTTGATGTCACTAAAAAATCTCTGCGTCAGTGAGGTGTCGTATTGGCTTTGTAACGCTTACTGAATAGTGTATTATAATTACTGTCAGAAGTCCACGATACCCCCAGAAAATACCAGGATGAGTGACCCTTTGGGGTCGTGCATAAGGCCCATTACAATTGAACACAATTTAAGTCCACTATCATTAACTAAACAAATTGAGGAAATACATAAGCAGGCTTGAACTTCAGAGGCATCAAAACTAATTGACTTGACGCCCTATGAGTTTGCGTGGCTACATTTTGATATTCTCTATACTGTGGGATATGATTTTATAAAATTTTCCCTGAAAATGGGTTACCTCATGAATGCGAAGTTCAAGCCCCAGCAGTACTTTTGATAACAGTCGTCAATGTTTAACTGTAGTATTATAGGTCGGAGGTCATTGAATAGTGGTAGAAATCGATACCATGTAACAGATACTGTAAAATACTTTATTTTTAGCTGGAATTAATTTAATGTTTTGTATGGAATTATTTTCACTGATTTCTTTCAAGTTGAATGTAAAATATAGTAAAAAGGGTATATTCAGCACATTTTATTTTCACCGATACATTCCTTCAGCGAAAATTAATTCCAAGTGAAAATAAAGTATTTTACAGTAGAATGTTTCACGAAATTTATGCTGCACCATGACCACCGCCCTCAGTGTTAAGGATTCAGTGTAAGCAAATCCTCAGTTCAACTTGTACAGCACAAGACCCGAAATTAAAAAAAAGTGAAGTGTGTTATTACTGCATCATTATAAATGAAAGTAAAAGGTCTTTCTACACAGAAAATAAATAATTGATTAGGAGTTTTATACATAATCTAAATTTTGCAATACTGAGCAATATGTACATTTCATTTATGAAAGAAATTCTGAATGAATATATTGAACACATTTTTTTTTCTGTTATTGGCACAACTAAATATACTGAAAGTATGAAGAAAACCTCCTTAATTCACCTTTGAACAATCAAAGGTTAAAATATCTTTGCTGGTCTGACAATGTGCAATGTTTTGTCTTGTATACAATTTCGTCTTTTTTTTACTTGCCAAAGGATATAAAATACTCACCAGCTTTCTTATAGTATATTTAACCAAAAACATGCATGTGAAATATTAAAACTGGCAACAGCAACATATCGTCAGAATTTGTAGATGAGCTGCTTCCACGTTATTGGCCAGCATACTGTTCGAATGATTTATACCAAACTGTTGAAAGATTGAAGCACAATAGATATATGGGTCTCGTATCAACAAAGATGGCGACTTTGACTGGAACAAGGATCAACAAGATGTTTCCAAGCTTTAATTAGGCAATTTTCATGCGATTGGAAGGTATTGAAGGAGTCACCCGTCGGTAATCAGTGCAAGTCGCGCTCAGCTCAAACCTCATACTTGTGATTTCCATTTTAAGAACGCATTGGATCGTGGGAAAATCAATGTTTATCAACACAAATGTCGCACATGCGCAGCGCAACGACTACATCGCTTTAATACAACACAATTCGTGGGTAATGCGATTCCATAAACTCTTCCATAAGAATGTACTGTTGCAATTAATACTAGTTTTTAAATTTGAAACCGTATTATCTGAATCATTTGAACATTAGGTATATGAACCACTTCCACTTCTTCTTGTGCTGTACAATGTTTCGCTGAAAGGAACGTGTAATAAATTAACACTGTAATCTTTTATGCATGTTTGTTGTACTGGTTTGTTTGCTCCTGTAGAGTTCTCCAATCAGAGGTTGAAAGTTGGAAGAAAACTTACTTGTTTGGCTTTTTCTAGCCTTTTTTCACTCAAGAATAGCAAGAACTGTCGAGTATAAATTTGAGATTTGGTGATTTTAATGGCATTTGTTCTGAACAAATTCTGTGAAATTTTCCCTCGCAAAGTTTGCCTGAATCTCTCATGAAATGAATGTTTTACCATTTATTTTGAACCGTTCTAATTTAGCTGAGCATTGTAAGACAGTGAACAGCTCCCATATACACAAAATGTCCCAAGAGCATTAAGCTGCTGGTGCTATTTCTTAAAAAAAAGTAATTCAAATATGGAAAAAACCAAAACATTTTTTTTTTAACTTTCGGGGTAGGGCATGTGTGCTACTTGGCAGAGGTGACTTTCAACAAAGTGGTGGAGAACTTCTGGAACTTCTTTATATAGAAATTAACATCTACTAAATCAAGCTATAGTAGTTTTGCTTTATTTAGTTTTAGTTCTTAATATGTACTGTAAATCGTTCAATTTTCACTGCTGGAAATTGTTAGGATTTCTGGATTTTATGGCATTCATGTTTGATTCCAGAGATATTTCCACTGCAAATAGATAATGTGATTTTCACTGAATTGTGAAAATAAAGTGGTTTAGGCGGAGTAAAAAATCTGTTTCTCATTTGCATGCGCATCATTTTGAAATATGCGCCTCAAACGTGTTTTTTTTTTCGTTCTAAAGCATTCCACAATGCGCTTGTACTCGCACTTGCTCAAATTTCTCCTGTTTTAGCTTGGTATTCAAAAAAACAAAAACACATCATTTTAAAATTTCCATGAAACAAGAAACAGAATTTTTTTTTTTCCCCTGGCCTTACAGTACTGATTTGATTGAATGCGACAGTGTATTGCACGTTTCTGTACGGTGATGAATAAATGTCATGGTGCTGATGAATATGGCATAGTGTTTCAAGTAGTGTTCAAAAAAATGAATGTATTGATCACTCGCTATACTTCTAGTTTGTGTTCTGTATATACTATGCTGGGTTTCTGCTATGGATAAAATCGTTTTAGCCACTGGATACTCAATTGTTTGTTTTTTTACCAGTTTACCAATTTCCAACTTGTTTAAAGCGGGAGGGTTGTCACCTACGCACACGCGAGAATAAAGTCATAGTTGTTTCTCATTGTAAAATCTGTTTTCGTCTGTTTTTCCCCAACAGTTTTTCAATCGGTATAAAATCAAAAATATTAAATTCATTTTTGATACTTAAAACAAATACGCCAAGTGAAATGCACATGACTGATGGATTATGGTGGCTGTTGTGATGTTACGACACCATCAGTCCAGTTGAGATGTATTGTTGATGCAGCAGCAATTTAATTTTAATTATTTTGCTTACAGTATACCCTGTGATGAGATGTGATATCTAACGATACCACTTATTTTGACTTTCAGGTACCTCCCATGACAGAAGCTCTGATACGTGGAGAGCACTAGGTCGCATAGCGGCACTCTGTAATAGAGCTGAATTCAAAGCTGGACAGGAAACTGTACCAATATTGAAAAGGTTATTATTTTTGACACTCAATGTAGTACTTCGTATGGGACCCATAACTGCTTGTTGACTTGTTCATAGGCAAACGTGCAAACATCGCCTCCATGAAATGAAGAAAAACTTATGGCAGGCAATGTTAAAATGATTTACCTAACTCAACTCAGATGGTTCAGCCAATTATTTTGAACTTGAATGGATTGCTGATACTGTGAATTTATAGCTATACGTTGTGTGCAATTTTTGAAATAAACAATTTTTTCTCTGAGGGGAAAATATGAAGTCAGTTCAGTTCAATTATAAATATTTCTATTGTTTTGTGTTTTGGTGTGGGTGAACCCGAGATAATGAGACGTTTCAATTGGAACTACATTTTCAGAACAAAATAATTGGCTCTATGGTAACAGGCCATAGAAAGTGGTCTTGGATGAAAATCCTACAGGACATCCACTTCAAACCCATAGTCAATGCAAAGCTGCTTGTAAGATTGTACTTGATTGTCTTTCCCTCCTTAACAGCCTAATATTCAGATCAATAAGAAAGCAGCAAGTCTTTTCGTTGTACGCTTAGACTTGAATCCAATTTCTGAATTGCCCTTGTAGCCTTAAAAAAAAATCAAAAAAGAGATATCCCTCCATTTTGATATGGCCCGACTCTGTATTATATGGCTGTGTGTATAAAAACTGTACTAATGATTTTGCTTTGTTTGTGCAGAGAAACAACTGGTGATGCTTCAGAGTCGGCATTGATGAAGTGTGTTGAGTTAACAGTCGGTAATGTCAAACAAATGAGAGAAGACTACAAAAAAGTTGCAGAAATTCCATTCAATTCAACCAATAAATATCAGGTATTTTTACTAACATTTTTCTGATCCAATACCTAGGTTATGCAAATACGTGTTCGTCTGGACCACTATAATTTCTGGGTAGTTATCACCTGCACACGTAATCTAAGTTGTGTAAAGCATTCTCTCACTCTCCACTCTGTGTTTCAGGTATCAGTACATGAACAGTCTGACCCAGAAGATAAACGTTATTTGCTTGTCATGAAGGGAGCACCGGAACGTATTCTAGATCGTTGTACCACCGTTCTCATGCATGGTAAAGAAATTCCCTTAGACGATGAAATCAAAGAAGCCTTCAACAATGCCTACCTTGAACTTGGAGGACTTGGTGAGAGAGTGCTTGGTTTCTGTCAGTATCTCCTGCCAGAAGATGAGTTTCCACTTGGTTTTGAGTTCAATGCTGATGATGTCAACTTTCCATTAGATGGTCTCTGCTTTGTAGGACTGATGTCTATGATTGACCCCCCTCGTGCTGCTGTTCCCGACGCCGTTGGTAAATGCCGAAGTGCTGGAATTAAGGTTTGTTGTAGTAATCAAGATCTTGATAAAAACATGCCAAAAAGTGTCATTTCCTTGATAAAAACCTACTAAAAATATTGTATTACTTCTAGACATCAACATTTACCTTGAAAGACACTATCTTTTTATAACTATATACTGGTAGTTCACTGAGCAAAATTGATAACGATAAAACGTCCTAAAACAGATATGCTGTTTACATTTCATACTGAGATTTTCTCCAAACTGAGTACAATGACCCCATATTTTTATTCCATTTTCTTCATCCTTGTGACATGAAATATGTAATATTATGTGTAGCATTTATTTAATATTTTAATGCTCTGCAGGTCATCATGGTTACAGGGGATCATCCAATCACAGCCAAAGCTATTGCTAAAGGAGTAGGTATTATCTCTGAAGGTAACGAAACGGTAGAAGACATTGCAGCTCGTCTTAATATCCCGGTATCCGAAGTCAATCCTAGGTAAGAGTAATTTTAGTGAATATTTTTGTAAATTTTGGTAAAAGTGATATTTTTGAATTCTTGTTGAAAACATAAAGTCTGATTGCTTTAATACTATACATATTGTTCATTTTCTAATGATATCTTCTGTTCTTTAATTGAAATGTGTATTGCTAACAGCGGAGCTACCTCAGCCAACAGGCTGCTTGTTTCCCATTTAATTGAAACATGTTTACAAATTACAATCTTCAGAAATACAGATTGATCAATATTTTACGCAATGCCTAACCTTTATCTGTATTTCTGAATAAAACTAAAAAATATGTTCAACTTCATCTTCTATACTTACTTGTTATTTTAGAGATGCCAAGGCATGCGTTGTTCATGGTGCCGAACTGAAAGACTTGACCAGAGATCAGCTTGATGATGTTTTGCAATATCATACAGAGATCGTGTTTGCTCGTACTTCGCCACAGCAGAAGTTGATCATTGTTGAAGGATGCCAGCGACTTGGAGCCATTGTGGCTGTAACTGGTGATGGTGTCAATGATTCTCCAGCTTTGAAGAAGGCAGATATTGGTATGTTTATGATCTCAACTCATTTTAAAACAAACAACTGGTCAATGTTCTCGTGGCAGAGCTACGTTACAAAACGTGAAATATACATATCCTTGTTTATGAATATATGGCTACTACCGTAAAATCTGTATTAGAAGCTGCATCCCTAATGGAAGTCGCACCCATTCTTTTTGAATAATTGAGAACCAAAAATTCATCATTACTCGTATGTGTAGATGCTCTAATAGAAGTCACATCTCATCTGTTGCATTGTACCATTTTAATAGAAGCCGTGGTTTCTAATACAGATTTTACAGTAATGTTGAAATAGTGGTGCAAAACGTATATATTAGTGAAGTTTGTAGCAGCACTGGATAATTACCATTTGACCACCACTCTAGATTATTCCGCATTCAGTCTTGTTTTAACCTATGCGATTACCACTGTTGATAATTACCTCAAATAAACAATTATAGCATCTTTGTTGAATTATATCCCTTTTGCACTTGTAGAAGCCCATCCTGCAACAATTACTAGACATTACCTGTTTACATCACCAATGTTGTGCTTCTAAAGCGCAGTGTTTTTTTTTTGTTTGGCTTGTTCAAACAAGAACAATCCATGGTGCAATTCTGGGGGTTTGAGGAGCCCCGCTTTGAGTGAATAATAATTCACTGATCATACTGTCAATTTGTTTACAGGTGTTGCCATGGGAATAGCTGGTAGTGATGTGAGTAAACAAGCTGCTGACATGATTCTCTTAGATGATAACTTTGCCTCTATTGTAACTGGTGTTGAGGAAGGCAAGTATCAGATATTTTCTGCATTGATAACATAACTTACAAGTATTTTTCTTAGTGAAAACAAAGAATTGGTCATTGAGATTGCTCTAGATTTTGTAAAATCAGAACTGATTTCCTACATGTGCAGACTTTTGTCTAGAGTCTAGATGTACTGTAAAACGCGTCTTTAGCTAGCATGTTATTTTAGTTAATCCACAATTTTGCTAAATTAAGATGTCGCTAATTAAAATAAAGTATATTCTCACAATGAGATTATTGGCACTTTAGCTAAATTAAGATTCAGATAATCAAATTCGCTAAAATGGTATATAGCTATTTCAAAGTGTTTTACAGTATTTACATCATATCTATGTGTAAATATGTAAGGACTGTATACTGGTAATCAACAATATTTTGAAGCAAAATAGGTAATCTGTTCTAATTTTACACCCTCAATGACAAAATCTTACTGTTTTTACTGTAATAAACTAAAACTCGCTTAGTATTTGTGTCAAATTATTTATAAGAATACGAATATAAAGTAAAGAGAAAAGAAAAAAGGGTATGTCAACGTCACAGCATATTCTTTCAAAAATTGGTAGTGATGATTACTATTAAAACGGGTAACTGCACTATATAATAAACATTTCAGATATTCCTATCAGAAGCTTAACATCTAGGGAGGGATCAGTTTCTTCTGTGACAACCTCTTTCCCGCCAGTACAGTGTGTTGAAATTGTTCTGTAAAATATGTTTTATGTGTCTTATTTTTCTTGCAATTATCGTTCTTTATATTCTCCAAAATAAACTGATAAGCAGAACCACAACAATACCAGACAATTGTGGCCATGGTGCCGATGTTGTGCCTTTGTGGGGAAAAATGTATTTTCTAAATTTAAAGCTTGTGTACGTTATTTATTCCACATCCTCTTCTGTAACAATTGTTTTCCTCTCTCCACAGGTCGGTTGATTTTTGACAATTTGAAGAAATCCATCGCATACACACTGACAAGTAACATCCCCGAGATTACACCCTTCTTAATGTTCATTCTTTTGGACATACCACTTCCACTTGGTACTGTGACTATTCTGTGTATTGATTTAGGTACTGATCTGGTAAGTACATGTGCTCAAGATCTTTCAAAGCAGGTGTAGTTGGGGATTGGAAGTGTCATGGTTCTGTGCCTGTAATCTCGCGTCATCTGTTTGTATTTGAGCCATTTCACGCTCTGGATAGCAATCTGTGGTTTGTCTCGACTATTCAAGCTTTACATAAGAGTATTCAAGACGCATGTCATGCGTTTGTCAATGGTGGTGTTGAGTGGACGAAAAAAAATCATGCATTTTGCCCAATTATTTTCTCCTTTATTTGTAACTATACAGTACTTGACAAAACAAGGTGCATATCGTACAATTTCATAACCATACTCAGCAAAAACCAGGTGTATTTCGCCTTTTCAAAACCACATGTTGCTAAACAAGGTACATCTTGTACATTTTCAAAACCATACCTGGCAAAACCTTAACCCAGGAATTTTGAAAGTAAGACAAACAATTGAAATGTTATCTTTTCCAGGTTCCTGCCATCTCCCTTGCGTACGAAGAAGCTGAAAGTGACATCATGAAGCGTAAGCCTCGTGATCCTAAAGGAGACAAACTTGTAAACCAGCGTTTAATTAGTATGTCATATGGACAGATTGGTATGATTCAAGCTAGTGGTGGCTTCTTTACCTACTTTGTCATCATGACAGAAAATGGATTTCTGCCATCGCGTCTCTTTGGTATCCGTGCCGACTGGGATGATAGGGAGCAGAATAGTTTACATGATGCTTATGGCTCTGAATGGGTAAGTTACTTGATAGTTTTCTATCAGGGGTGATGTACTGTAAGATGACTAATTTTCACTGGGTTTAAATTTCACTGATTTACCATTTCAGGTATATTCAATGGGTTTTAAATTCAAAGTTTCGTCATTTAGATAATGTGTTCTATGCTAAATTTTACATATTCGCTGGGTTTTAATTTAGCGCATTTTCCAGTCAGCGAAATAAGCTACCGGTAAATTAAAACCCAGTGAATAATTACCCCCTTTACAGTACTTGAATTTATTTCTATATTAAGTTTGTTAAAGTCGTGAGAAGAAGCCGTTTTCCAGTTCACTGTAATTTCTCATCCCTGCAACAGTTGACCTTCGCAAATCAGACAACCAATAAATACTGAATAGACCATTTTCCGTTCACTACGAGAATCGCGCGTTATGCATAAAATCGAACGTAAAAACAGGACAAACAAAGGTCGTAGTGGCGTCAAACATCGCGTGGGATTTGACAAACCCGAAAGTATTTTGGGGGACATTTCCATGCTTAATAATGTGCTGTCCACATTTGATGATAGGCAATTTCGATTAAGCCAGGGTATTCGGAAGCAATATTCCTCTGTCGAAGATCGGCCGGTCGATGTGAGCTACGAAATAAAGAAATTTGAGTTGAAAATCAAATCGTTCGATTTTTACAGCAGACGTTCGACGTGCGCGTCTTTCATGCGTCTCACGAGATCTCGCAATTGTACGGAAAATCGCCTATTTACTGAACATATTTTTTATCTGCTCTTGCTGTAGACTTATGATCAACGTAAAATATTGGAGTACACCTGCCATACTGCTTTCTTCACAAGTATTGTCATAGTGCAGTGGGCTGATGTGATCATTTGCAAGACCCGTAGGAATTCCATTATACATCAAGGCATGAAGAACCACATGTTGAATTTTGGATTGTTCTTTGAGACTGCTTTGGCAGTGTTCCTTTCCTACTGCCCTGGTATGGATGTAGCTCTACGTATGTACCCTCTGAAGTAAGTAATACACTAGTCATCTTTCTACTACTTTTGAGACATTGAAGG